AACATAAGGTGCACCACCAAATTTTATCTTCAGATGTTATTTTGGATGGCATGAGAATTCATTTTCATCTCTAATTATATTATTTTAGACTCCAAAAATGGTTCAAATCAAGTAAATCTATAAACGTATGAAAATCTTGAAAATGGACAGTCCAGATAATATGTTGCAAGATACACTATTTTTGGGACTTTTTTTTTTTTTGCATGTTCATACATCTCGATGACCAATTTGAGGGTTTTCCAACTTCAAAACCGCCTTTCGCAATGGATTTTTTAGGCGCACCTTAATTCTACATTTTAAGGTTGCAACCTTATATAAACTTTTTCCTATATATATATATATATACATACACATACATATATATATACTAGTTGAATTACATGCGTTGCATGTATGCAATTACTTGTAGTAGATTAACTAAATATTCATTGATTAAAGAAATCTATTAATAAAAAGTTTGATTAATCACAAATCACCCCTAGATAATAAGAAATTTTTACCGACTTATCATTTTTATGAAATAAATCCTACTAAACCTTGGTTTCCTAAAATCCTGTTTAAGAGATTCTCTCTTTGTCTACTCTTCAAAAGCTTCCATGAAAATCTCTCTTCTGTCCTAAAATCTCTCATTGTCTATCTCTTGGGCATGTTCTCCTCTCCTTCTCAAATTCTCTCACAATTTTGAGATCTCTCTTGTGTGCACTCATATTCTCTCTCCCTCTCTAATTAAAATATAGAAATAATGTGGAGATATGGAAATAATATTGAGATATCACTCTCTTGTGTATATTCGTACTCTCTCTTGCAAATTTAGTTATCCTAAAATAAGAGTTTATTCTATCCCTCTTCTCTAAAGTTTGGAATGTGTTCTACAATTTCTATAAAATTAGGTTTCCTTCTTATTTCTGCGACACGTGCCTGCCCCTTAACTCGGGCTTAATCTCTTCCCTTAAATGTGGGAATGTCTCCTACAACCTATATAGAATTAGGGTTGCTTCGAATTTTTACTACACATGTCCACTCCTTAGCTTTGGCTTAATAATGTAGAAGCACGTGCTTTGCATGTGATTAAAAAGCATCGACTATCTAATGAAAGCACAAATTTTTTAGACAACAAAAACATAAAAAATATATATTTTTTATCATTGCAAATATAAGAAAATAATATTTATGTGAAAAACTCACTAAAGTTGTGAAGTAGAGTAAAAATTTGTAATTATTTTAATATCATATAATTTTTGTTTGTTATTTTTTACTTTAAATAAAAGTTACTTATTACACGGTTTGGAAAACATAGCGATGAGATTGCCGATGGAGATGTCAAAGCAACTGAGGTCCAATACAATTTTAGTATGGAAAGGAAGTAAATGAGGTAGTGTGCCCTTGAATGCCTTAACCACTAAGCCATGATCCAAACCTCAGAATTTCATAAATGATACATAAGAGTGCCTTCTATAGAATTTGCTAATTCATATTTGTTGACTAAGATCTCTTCCTCCGAGACATATTTTGCTACCCCAAAATAAAGACCTGCATCGTCACATACATTGGCACATGAAATCACTTACGTGATTCATAGAATTTCATACTATACGCATGCTTATGGAGCACCACTAAAAGAACTTGCCTTGCGGCGGCTTCCTCGTTTGGGTCCACCGGTTGTACCGGTTGGACACCAGGAGGGTTGGAAGGCTTGGGGTTGGAAGACATGCCTTCCAGGGAGGGCGAGCTTGTTATCTCTTTTTCTCCTCCCTCATGTTGGGGCCTGGGCAGGCCCCTCTATCAATTAACCGAAATAACAAAACTTGAAACCTATAACTTACAAAAACTAATCTAAAAAAACAACCATAGCACTTAGAGAAGCACTTCTATGACTTTGCATATTGGAAATCCAAAATCAGGTAAAAAGCATAACGAAATTAAGTAATGAAAACATAAAATTTAATGAAACTGAACCAATATAAGATGAAAACACAAACAAAACTGAACCAATATAACAAAACCATAAAGCATGACGGGGAGCCATTAGCTCAAAGAAGTCCAAAATCAGGTAAAAGCTTAACGAAACTATGTAATGCAAACACAAAATTTAACAAAACTGAGCCAATATCTAATGAAAACACATAATTTAATGAAAACGAACCAATATAAGGAAACCATAAAGCATGATGGGGAACCATTTTCTCAAAGAAGAATATGCGTACTCTCATACCTTGAGGGAAGGAGATAAGAAGAATATAGTACTCTCATACCTTGAGGGAGGGGGCTTGGGTTACCCCTTTAAAGGAGCACGTGGGATACTCTCTCTTTTTCTTTAAATATAGTATGTTTAGATCTCTCTTATACATCTCTCTAATTAGATATTGATTGTGGCATGTTTAGATAAGCATATTCTATTTAAATCAATGAAATTTATAATAGAATCGATAATTTTATTTTTGTTTCTATTTGGTATGATTAGTATGTTTCCATAGATAAATTATTTATGATATATATTGATTCTCTCCATTTCCTTTTTTGTTTCTCTTCCCTACACATAAGCTTCCATAAAAATATCTCATCTCTCCCAAAATCTCTACATATCAATAATCCATACATATCTCTCTCAACACGTATTCTCTCTCTCCACCTTTCCCTATCTCTCTCCCCTAATATAAGCTTCCATAAAAATCTCTCATCTCTCCTGTATTCTCTCATGCATTCCCTCTCTCCACATCTCTCTCTCTCTGTCACATCTCTCTCCATGTCCCCTATCTGTAAGCTTCCATAAAAATATCTCTCTACATGTTTGGGGTTTGTTTTAGGATACTACAAAATATTTTAAGAGATATGTACTCTCTCTCTTCCCTTGAATATAGATATGCATATCTCTCTCACATCTCTCTCATCCATGTCTCTCTCTTTGTCTCTAAAGAGGATACTCATCTCTCTTCCTATATCTCTACACCGATACTTTTAGGCAGTTTCATAGGAACCATAAAATTCTCTCTTCAAATTCTCTATCTTCTAAAAATATCTTCCTCTTTAATTTCTTTCCATATGTCTCTCTCACACTCTCTTTCATCCACTCTCTCTCTCTATCTCTTCCCTTAAATATAAGTACACATATCTCTCACATCTCTCTCATCCATGTCTCTCTTTCTCTCTCTAAAGAGGGTACACACCTCTCTTCTTATATCTCTACACCAATATTTTAGGAAGTTTAATAGGAACCATAAAATTCTCTCTAAAGATTCTCTTTCTAAAAATCTCTTACTCTTTAATTTTATCTCTCTATATATCTCTCTCACACCTCTCTTTCATCCATGTCTCTCTTTCCCTCTTAAGTGGGTACACGTCGCTCTCTATAGATGGGTAATGTGTCCTACACTCTCTATAGAATTAGGATCCTTTCTTATTCTCGTGCTTAATGTAGTATTAATACGTGTGTGTGTGCATGTGTGTGTCTCTCTATATATATATATATATATATATATATATAGGAAAAGTCTTCCCAACGCCTATAGGAAAAAATGAACAATGATTTCGCCTACGCTCATCACCGTCCAAAGTTCATCGCACAGTCATGATTGTCCAGTAGTGTTCCATGTTTCATGTTTTTTTCTACAAATCGGAATGACCTGAAATTTGGAGGGTGTGTACATCTTAGTGAGGCGCACTTTATAAAAATAAAAATAAAATACTTCACAATTTTTTTTTGACCAAAATACCCCCAAACCTTTTCGAGGGGTATTTTTATTATTTCTTGTAAAATATGTTTTTGATATTTTTTGTAGATTCTCTATTTTTTATGAACCCACACGCTCCAAATTTCAGGTCATTCCGATTTGTAGAAAATAAAATGAAATAAACACTACCGGACAATTGTGACCATGTGATGAACTTTGGAAGGTGATGAGATTAGGCGAAA